AAAATTTTAAAGATAAATTGATTAAACGGGTTAACCTGTGAATCAGTGAGTTGACCGATATTTGACTCGTGATCTGTTCAAAATGATCTAAATCGATCACAAGTCTAGTACTACTTGATCTTAACATGTTTTTCACGGGTTAGATTAAGATCAGGTTAACAGGTTGGGTGTAATTTTATCATCTCTATTCTCCATTTCTTTCAACTGAAATATATTATAAGGTTTTGGCACCATTACTTCTAGCAAGAAGTAGCCCTTCTGAAAAATAATATACATTTTGTAGGAAGGAGAATATATAGTCTTCAAATTTTTCCATAGGTCTGGTATCATTTATCGGCAAAGTGATTTTTAGTCAGGTCAAAACACCAACAATCAGATCATGAGAGCTCCTAATTGTAGGGATAAACCCCTCTATCTAATGACTCGTGTTTTATATAGCTTGGATTGCAGAATACAGAATGTCTCATTATTCTTTGGTGAAAAAAATGAAGGTCTGGAGCCGGTGTTCCTTAGATATCCAGGTCTGTCCATCATCAAAGGATGCTCATGCCCATAAACATGGAGGAAGCCTATGCCCGAAGGAAGGACAAACCGTTTGTGGGAAACACAATGATCCCAAAATTATTTTTGATTAATTTGTCCACGTACAAAGGAATTTTGAATATGCGCAGGTCTCGCCTTAAGATTACAAGCTTAGGAAGCCGTTATTCTATTTGGTTTCACTATTAGATAATTGTAATTTTTAGTTAATAATTAATAGTTTTTAAATTAATATTTCTAAACACCCTAACTAGATATTTAAATAAATTCTTTAAGAAATTTCTGTGTTTAAGAGTTTAAATCTTTATATTTAAGATCTCAAATTCAAAATTTAAAACGTGTAAATAGTGATTTGAGAAAAAAAATGACTATAACTTATTATATAATCTATCATTTGACATAAAATAAATTATTTGAAGGATAAATTAATAAAATCAATCAAACCAAACACATTTGGGTCCCGTGACGTCAGACCACGTATAAGAGCATTCCCCACCTCAGGACAAAGGTTTGAATTCGAACCCTTGCGAATTTATTAAAAAAAAAAAAAAAATCAATCAAACCAAACGCACCTTTTAATAACAGGCATTTTGGAAGTGAGTCCAATAGCAATTCGTAGCAAAATTCCAATTTCTTTCGCTGTAGAGCAATTCTGATTTCCAAATAAACATTTAGAAGGAAATCTCTCAATGTTATTTTCAGGACATTCTGAGTCGTGTGAAGAATTCCTTCTTGCTAAGGGATTCCATAAGTCATATGTCATATCATTTTCTAAAACCTACTTAAAACATAAGTTTTGAAATTAGGTAAAACATGTAGCAGAACTTCCATGATCCATATCCCATATCATTTTCTGGAGAGTCCAAAAAACATCCATCTAATATTTGAGCTATAATTCCGCACGAGATAACCCAAAGAAAAGTCCACATGGATATAATTTTATTCATATTCAATCTGCCTGTTAGAAAATACAGACACACCTGGGATGTCAAGTGATGAGGAGCTGGCTCGAGTAGCATTCTTTTAAGATTTCCTCCTGGATTTCATGCTCGACCATTCAGTTACAACAGCATTACCTTTCAATCACTGCTTGGCTGCTCGCAATCTCTCGACTTTACCATACTCTAGGTCCTGCAGGGTCCAAATAAGATGCCATGACAGCAAATAACTTAAGCAAAAGCATTCTTAACTCAGACAAAGCACCAGAAAGTGGGATCGGCATTCAAGGACTTGCTGCATTCAGTTAGCCAAACAGGTTGAAGACACTTCACCATACAGAATGGTGTAATTGCATAGTAGCAAATAAATTAATCACAGGCATTAAGAGTTGCAAAAAAGGCACAAGAAAAAAAAAATGTGCATAAGATATAACATCTAGAAACACTGAAAAATAAAATAGGTTTACAAATACTTGGTACTTCTGCAGGAAAAGAAACAGTTTAACCAATGTTACATTCAGAAATCAAAAGAAGCAATAACATTGCATTCACACTAGTAGATAAAGTAATATTCCTAAATAGCATGGCTAACTTTAATATTCAACATCTTACAGAGGATGCCTCAGGGATTTGTCCTAAAAGGGCGGCGCTCATTTGGCTGGGAATCTGTCTTAGAGGATATATTATACCCATGGAGCAGATCATGGAATTTGGAATACATCAAAACCTGGGAAGGATCACCCCCACTGCCACCCTGCAATGCACGTGAACTCTCTTGCAGTTTTATCTTCTCAAATAGATATTGCTTCTCAGCCTCCGCCTCACTTAAACGGAGTTTCAGGTAACTGCTAGCATATTCTTCCTCTGATTTATCTGACTTGGCAAGAGCGATCTGCTGGAGCCTCTCAGCCTCTCGTTTTGCCTCATTGGCCTTAAGCTGAAACATATCAGCCTCAGCCTGTTTAAGCCTCACAAATCTCTCTAGTTCTTCTATTTGTGACCTCTTTTTTTGCTTCTCAAGCTTCAGTTCAGTCGCTTCCTTGGCCTTCTCTTCAAGCTCCCGGTCACAAGTATCAAGAGCCATGCGAGCTTTCTTAAACATCCTCATCTTCTCATCAGCCACCAATTCCATCTTCCTTATAGCCTCATGCACCACCTCAGCTATTCGATTGCATGCCTCTTGTGGTGCTATCAGCCTCACCCCTTCCCCGTTTTCTAGACTCTTTGGAGAGTCCACTTCAAGCTCTATATATAACAAGAAATTCAGAATTGTTCTGAACATTCTTAAAAGAATCAAACAGGTTTTGAGAAAAGTAATCCATTGGGGAATATCATGAACAAATTCTATAACAAATACAAATTAATGGAGAAAATTTTGTGGAATCTCAGGAAGGACATCACTGAAATGTCAGCCGGTGAAGCTTAGATAAAAATTAATCTGCTAGTTTAGATATAAACTTAGGAATGCTGCACAGCTCATCATAATTATAAAAATTAGCAGATTAATTTCAATGACAAAAAAAAGGACATCAACAATTTCAATTCAATTTCTTATTCTGTAAATTTCTGCTCCACAATGCACATACTAAACACTAAGGCATATCAACCATGAAAAAATTGGATAATCAGCTAGTTCAGAAATGATTGCTTCATTGTCCCCAACTCCCCATACTTTAGAAAGTCAATAAGCACACATATAAATTAGGTTATCTGATACTTACCCATTTAAAGATGTTATTTCACAAATGATAGAAAAATTTTTGCTTAACTGGCAATTAAATCAAATACTAGCAGACTCATACCTTGAAAAAACGTTAATATCATTCTGCAAGCAGTGGACTCTGCCATCCCACTCTTCATTTTATCCATGAGATCATCACATTTCCAAAAGAGTTTCCTCCCTCTGGGGTCTTCACTTCCATGGAAGATCCTACTAACAAAATCAAGTTCTCTCATGAGAGCCTCACGATCCCAGGCTGGAGCACAGTGTTGAAACACATCTTTAACCCAACCCAATAGCTCAGATGTTCGGTTGCATGCTCGGCACCTAAAAAGCATTTCAGCTGGACCTGATCCACTCTTAACAGAAGGACCCATACAAATTTGTCCATCACGAATCGCACAATCAGTGTGAGTCCAGTGGGAACACAAATCACAACCAATCCAGCGGCATGTATTCACTTCAAAATCAAATTTGTTGCAGATAACACACATGCAAAGATTGCAGAATCCATTCCTATTAGTACATACTTCACAGGTACAGTCATCGGCTGGAAGCTGGTTCTGGCATGCTATATTTCTGCATCTCTTGTATACAAAGATCTCAATGAGAGAAGTTTGAGATAAACTGATGTTTGGGTGCAAGAATGCCTGAATTCCCGTATTTATTGCAACAAGGAGTTCAAGCTGTGCCCTGTGGGCTCTAATCAATGTCTTTGCTGTTAAATCAGACCTACTCTGAACAAACTTCTGCAGAACCAAAAATTCCTCTCTGTTCTGTGAGCCACCATTCCCTTCAAGCATGTTTCTAAGTTGAATCTTTAGCTCATCCAGAAACTCCTCAGACAAACGATGCATTTTTTCAGCAATCATATCAACTCTTTCTCTTGCTATGTCCCTAAGTGATATCTTCTCTGCACTGGAAACACGACGGATGACTGACTGCTCAGGGCAATCATTCTCTACTTTCCCATTCTCCACCTTGGCTGCCACTAGAGCATCAGCAGTAGGCCAAGTCTCTCTTGAGCTGGCACTCTCAGTTGGGGACTCACGAATGTTATCTGAGTTTGATCTGGGTTCCTGTGCATCAGGGGATTGGTGATGATCTGAAGAAACTAAAGACAGTGAAGTCTGTATGCCCCCTGCCCGTGGTTGTTGACGTGGAGGTAGCATCTTTGATGAATGCTGCTGGTAGATGTTAGAACCAGATGATGTACCCATCAATCAATGTTGCTCACTCTGTAACCCAAATCAACTCCTCATAGTCATCTTTTACCGCTACTTAGGAAAATGTAGTATAACTTAAAGTTTAGAAAACCAAGTATACAACACTAAAGAGTACAAGATAAGAAGCATATTGCTTGAAACAGTTAACTAAAGAACACTATTGAGGTAAACCAAAAGTATTATGGTAGGGATAATTAACAAGAAATTTGGGATTACCGAACTTAAGCAAATTCAGTCTCAATCATGAAAACCCTAATACTGTTCAGGAGATTTAATCATTTTGATTGCAATAAATATTCGCAGTTTGGCTCAAGGTAAAACTTTTGATCCCAACTCAACTAGCTAAAATTTCATTTTGTGACTAGAAAAGCTTCAACAGAGAGATTTTCCATGTTTCAGAGGAAAGCACACGATAAAATCAAATCCATATCCAAGCACACCTAAAAGAAATTGTAAAATCTTTTAGAGCAAATTAAAAGGTAGACAATGGATCCCCAGTCTCTAGGTATCCCAAAAAAAAAAAAAAAAAAAAGGGAAGGTGTCTAGAACCTTCT